GTGTCCTTGTCTTTCAGCTGTTGCTTCTGTTGCTCTAGTCTCTTGGAGGCAGACGTGTTTTTTCCTGTCAGCACTGTTACCTCGTGCTGCAGCGTCTGCACCTCCGAAGTCAGTTTTTTGTTGACTGACTCAATATCGCGAAACTTCCTCAGTTCAGACTCCTTCTGCTCTCTGAGGGTCTTTTCAGTGGACAGTCTTTTCTCCACTTTAGCAACATCTGCAATCCTTTGCTGATACTGTTTGAGCTTTTCGATTAAACTCTCCTCGTTATTTCTTGAGGCATCAAGTTGCTCTCGAAGGACCGCAATAATTGCGTCAGGATTGGTGACGTTTTCCCTCTCCATTTTGATTGAACCTAATAGTAGGTCAGTAAGTTAGTTAGTAGCGATGAAATGTCGGTCGTGTGTCCGTGAGCCGGTGTGGAGATGATGAGAACTAACACGCAGTTAGATCATAAAATATTTTGGAGATTGGGTCCTATTTGAAGGTTTGGTAAATTTGTTCTGTGATGTCACAAAGGCATGTGTGCGTTCTGAGCTTTGTGACGTCACGACACCCCGCCCCCTCTTGGCTACATGCTCATGACCTCACTTTGGAATTACAAGGTTCATCTGAAGTTTGTCAGAACTGAGTTTTCATACATTATTATTGTGTGACAACTTATTAACACTGGGTAAGTGGTTTTTTTCAGTCATATGCATTTTTGGACTTTTTATTTATAAAACAAAACGCTTCTGTCTCTCAAATCAAACTCTACCCTGGTTCCGTCGGTGACTCAGCGGTCTGTTTTGCGCATGTGCAAACCCGTCTGAGGCGGCGAGCCGCGAGCCTGAAGTGGTCAGAGTGCGGCTCGTTTAACCTGCGTATTGTAAACCCAAAGCCCTCCGGGGCCGCTTTGCCTTTTGCCACTGCATTTTAGCCCTCCAGGCTTGCCGTAGACAGACCACACGCTACATCAGTGGGGCGCTTAAAGAACACACTCTACGGGACTATGGCAACAGGTAACGACAACACGACCGGTGGACCAGGAGTAGTTTGGTTCGACGACCAAGAATGCAGTTCTCCAGAAACGGGACGAAGAAAACATCAACTGGAAACTGTCCACGACGCTCAGAAACACAAAGGTTTTCTCGCAGTTTTCAGGACAAATGAAAGCGAGAGGCTTCAACAGGACCGTTGTCTCGGATTTACCTGCGACCCTGTTAACTGGCGACTGCCGGCCGAAAGCATCTGTGGCTGTAGTGACAAGGGCTGTCTTCAAGCAGGAATATATTACGTAGCTGTCCTCGTGAATGTCTCTTTTTCAGTTTTCTATTACAATATGAAAACATGTAGTTGGCGGACCTGAGGACCCAGGTTGTGGGTCAGGAGATACAGCGGGACGTCCACCAATCGGAAGATCATCCGTTCGATCCCCGCCTCCTCCAGTCTGCATGTTGAAATATCCTTGAGCAAGATACTGAACCTCAGATTGCTCCCGTTGTCTGTGTGAGTGTGTTAAAAACTGAATAGCAGGTGACATATTGCATGGTAGCCATGGCCACCAGTGTGTGAATGAGCAGTTTGAGTGGTTGGATGACTAGTAAGATGCTTTATGGGTGCAGTCCATTTACCATTTAATTTGACCAGTCAAGGTGAGAGCACCTGAGCAGTTCAGGGGCTCATGGAGCACAGGTGTGTGTGCACATGCTCGCCTGGTGAGCTGTTTTAAATAGATATTATTGTTAAGGTAACGTTAGTGTGGGTTTTTTAAGTGCTAATGTTACAGTTGTATTTTTAATTGCTAAAATGACAATTAGAAAAGATAAACGTGTTGTGTTTATTTTATGTTATATTTTATGCTATTGTTTTGTCTGTTTTCTAGTAAATGGACCTTATTAACGTATTAACCTTTTAATCTTTGTTATGTAAATACGACCAAGGAGAGAAAGATCTGTTCAGCCATCTGTCTGATCTTGATTTGCATTCATCCATCTTGTTCCAGACATTCAAGGATTCACTCAGTTTATTGTCTGTTGTAATGTGCTCACTCAGGTATGTGACAGGAGATTTGATGGGTGTACCATATCGCTGATTAGTTAACAATTGGTCAAATTCAGTTTTTGAGGAGCCAAGAGCAAGGAGCTGAATGAGGGAGCAGTGGTACAAATGGGAGGTGTAGAAAGGGGAGAGGCTGAGGAACACTATTGGAGTATGTTAAAATGTGTGAACACTCCAGTTTAACAGTATAAAAAATATATCGTTTCATAGTTTTAATTAATACATCCGTTTTTTTTTCATTGGTTTTTATTTCTTCATTTGAAAACTTAAATGCATGCTGTCCACCTGAGTGGACATGTTAAAAAAACTCCTTGAAAAATGGCATGACATGATTTTGCCATGTAGGACATGTTCCTGGATCAACATCCCACATCTCATTCCTGGACCAACCAAGCCTTCTGACATCATCAGTGTGCTGCTCTTTTGAGAAACATCCCCCACCATTTTAGACGTGCGCATGTGCGAGTACCAGGCTCCCAGTTGTACGTTCTACAGACTGAGATTGCTAAAAACATATTTTAGATCCTTGTTGTAAAAATAACGTTAATAACGTTAATAAAGCAGAAATAAAAAACTTTTCTACTACCAAGCGCATTAGCTTTCTAGCTATCGCTGTTTCCTTATTAGCTCTTTAATCATGGACTAACAGATAATATAGCATTTTTCACCACTGGTTATTTTAGGAGGACCACACCAAGCAAACATATTAGTTGTTTAGATTATCAAATGGACAATGGATCATAGACAAGCTGTCTATTTCCACTTTAAAATGTTGATTAAAACCTTGGGCGTAGGAACCGGGGGGAATGGAGGGGACGTGTCCCCTCCAATATTTGAGACAGGCGCATTTGTCCCACCCAAAAATTATATGCAGAGGAGAAAAATATTTTATTTTGAAATCTTTAACTCACATGCTTTTATTTTGAAGGCGCAACACAGCGTCATGTCACTGCCCTCCATAGACATATATATAAATATATATATATTTATATATATGTCTATACTGCCCCCACCCCCCCACCGGCTCTGAGTGTTTGGGGGGCGGGAGCGAGTCGGGACACAGCGGCCTGCAGGCAACACAGAGGATGAAACGACAGCAGCAGCTCAGTATAAGCACTTTCTTTCTCATGGGAAAGAAAAGAAAGAAAGATAACGTGAGTTGGTAATAATTTTGTCCAGGAGGATAATTATATTTTCTGTCTAGACCTGTTGATGTTTAGCTGACGTTGTGATTCAACACCTACATTAACTTGTAACGTTACACTCTTGCTAGGTAAACTTTAATGTTGTTACCATTAACGTTACTTGCTAACATTGGCTCGCGAAAATATGACGGCGTTTCCAATAACGGAAAAAAGCGATTTGACACTAAATATTTAAGGTGTTTGTAAAACAACATGATTTTTCTCTTAACCCATGTAACAACTCGAAAACGAGTACACACCTCCAATATCTAGAAAGGAGTTTGTCTCTGTGTTTTTTGCTTGTTCTTGGCTTTCCCATCAGTA